GTGAATGGTCCCATTTGACATAGTTCCCACCAGAGTGTTAGGAATGAACACTTCAGGAGAGCCTTATAATTTGTTATCTTAGAAGCACCCGAAGGGCTGACGAGATAGGCAGACAAAGCGCCTGCTTTGGCAAGCACAGGGACCAGGGTTCAATCCCCAGTCCTGCGTGCTGTGCTGGCCCCACCCCCGGGGCACGCTGACGACTAAGTCCGGGTGTAGTGGCACACCCCTGTAATCCCAGTGCTGGGGAGGCTGAAAACAGGAGGATCACTACGAGTCTGAGCTGCACAGTGAGACTCTGTACCAAATACGTAAATGAAAAGCAAAAGCACCCCAGTATTACTGGCTCGAAATGCAAGCATTTCATCTTGTTCACCAGACCAGATTGGCTTGGTGGTGCTTTTGAACTCGGCTGGGCTCCTGTCCCTGTGGCCTTTTGAGTATGAGGGGCTGACACTGTTGCTCTGGAGGGCTCCCTGGAGCAGTCCACTCAGGTCACCCCTGCCTGCCAGCTGTGCCCTGTTGCATATAATCTCTGTTCCCAGAGAGATCTTTAGGTAGCTGGGGCCAGATTCCACACAGAAGAGTGGAAGTGTACAAGGCCACTGCAGGCCAAAACCTGCCGCTGCGCATGACCGACCAGGATATACCCCATACTCCGTACTCCTTGAGCCAGCCCAAGGGCTAGGGACATCGATTGAACTTCGACAGGGGAGCTGCCATATCATGAAGAGCAGAGATGTGCGGGGCGGGAAGCGTTAGGGACATTTCTGCTCTCAGAGTACCCCAGTTGCTTCTTTAGGGGTGATGGATTTGTGCCCTTTGTTTACTCCACCAAATTTTATCATGGGTATACCTGCTACGTGGTCAAATGGGCTTATGTCCTGGGTGTCCAGACGTGGAGATCTGTTGTCTAGAGTTTCAGTTGCATGCACCAAATTTTTGTGAGCCTTCCTCTACCAGTCTTAATGCTCATAAATTTAAAGTTTTGATCTTGTCGTAAAACATCATATTTTTTTATGTACTTCATGCATGCTGGGGGTGGGATAGCTGCCCCTGGCCTCGGCCATGCTGGCACCTCCCATGCCCAGAGCATAGTTGAGTTAAAAGTCGATGCCCCCACCTTTGTATGGGAGACTGCAGCCGCCACAGCTAGTGGGACTGGTGCAAGGCATACTGCAACTTATTCAATGACTATTTGTTGAAGTGATTCAAATACGGCTTTTCCGCTCTCAGGCGGACATGTGCATTAGAACCAAGGGGTGAGGTTGTCTGCATCCACAACAAAACCTTATAAACAGCAGTCTGTGGATCCATAAATAGTACTGGTAAGACTTTTAAGCTTTGCTAACTTGGGAATTTGCATGAGAGTAAAGGTTCTAAAATTTGCATCTTGGGCCAGGTGTGGTGGTACAGCCTACAATCACAGATCAGGAGGCTGAGGCGGCAGAACCGCCGTGAGTTCAAGGCCAGCCTAAACTACATAGAAGGCCCTATCTATAAATTAAATAAACAAACAGTTTGTATTTTGGAAATGTGTTATTCTGATCCTAATGGTGGTTTTTTTCTCAGTTCCCACTGGAAAATATATGCGCATACACTTACTCTGATTAATATCTATTGTGCTAGTAGCTCCTGGTTAGGCAAGTTGGAGAATCCCTGATTGCAGAGAGGGTCCTCATCCTGCTTGGCTGAGAGCAGGGCGCCCTGGGCTTGTAGGGCTCAGGTCCTCCAGCTGTGGCTGGCGCAGTGTTGTACAACCTGCCTTCAGACCTGCTTGAATTATGTTTTGTAGCCTGCTGCCCTGCCTAAAGGGTGCAGGTTGCTTCAGGACAACCTCCACAAGGCAGCTCATAGAAGTGGAAGTTACTAAATGTTGCTAAAGGCAGCCTGTCTGGTAATTACGGCCTCTGCAGTGCACTGTGGCAGATCGCCCCCGCCAACAGCTTACTGCACACCGCTGGAAATAGCTCAGGGCCCCGCATGGAGGGACTTAGTCAAAGGGTAGGAGAGATGGGTGGAAACAGGTGCTGGAATTTCACTGTCCACTGCCAGACTGGAAAGGGCCTCTAGTTTTGATCAGCCTCCTGCTCAGCCATGTGAGAGGACAAGGAAAAAGCCTGGGAGGGAAAGCGTGCGCCTTTGGCCTCTGGTTCCCTCTGTTTCTAGGTGAGGTGAGAGAGTAGAAGCCTGAAATAAGAAGTGAACAGAAGCAAAAACAGCCTGGGGCCCTGACACGCTGCTCTGCACAGCACCTGGGGAGCCCCAGACCTGAGAAGGCCGCTGGGACAGGCTCTGGCACTGCCCGAGGACAGGAGAGCGGGAGCCCAGCCGTGCTCGCGCCCCACTAGGCTCTGAGGACTGAGTCAAGGCACCCTTGTGCTGCGTTAGCACAAACACATGAATAGGAAGCTTTCCTGCGAGCGGCAGAAGAGGCTTCCCTCTGCTGGTCCATGCCCAGCAACACATGCACACACGAGCTCTGTGCCTGACTGCTCCAGCCACGTGCCCCTCCGCTCCTGCTGCCTTCTCAGCATCTAACTTGGAAGTATAGTTCTCAAGCTGTGCCACAAACTAGGTAGCTTAAACAACAGCCTCACGGCCCTGCGGGCTGCAAGCCTGAGATCCACGGGCAGGCAGCACCAGTTGAAGGACTGCAGGAGAATCTGTCTGTTCCTCTGCCCTGGCCCTGGGCAGACATCGGCTGGCAGTCTTTGGCTTTCTTTGGCATTCCCATTCGGGAAGAAGGCCGAGAAGGGGTGATGGGCATCTCCCTGTGTGCATCTATCTAAGTCTCCCCTTTTTAGAAGGGCACCAGTCTGATTGGGTTGGCAGCCACCCTGCTCGAGTGTGGCTGCTTAACTAATTACGTCTCCACTGACCTGTGGCTACGTAAGACCACACACTGAGGTCGAGGGGGCAGGACTTGGGTGTCTGAATTTTCAGAAGACGTAGTTGAGCCCACAGCCTTGTCCTTCTAGGCCTCAGCCTCGTGTCCCTCCCTTGGTCACCAGCTTTAGCTACTGTAGCCCGATCCCTTGGCTGGCGTTTGGTATCGCTGTGGCGAGCTGCCCACTTGTCGTGCTCTGTCCGTGGCGCTGCTGTGCTCTGCTTTGTGTTGGTGGACACAGTGAGGTTGTGTGTTCATGAACAAATGGACAAATAAGCAACACCATCGAGAGACTACGAGGCAAGGTTTCCATAGTTGGTCCCCAAAGCAGCCCAGTGGCACGCTTGATGACATCCTTGTCCTAGCTTCACGGCTTGGCCAGTGGAGTGCTGGTGCAGATGCGCCTCTTTCCTCACTGCAGAATCCCAACTGCAGCTCTCCCTCGCTGCCTCCCGAGGTCAGGGACAAGCCTCCCCTACTGGCTGTCACCTCTGTGAGCTCCTGATCTGAATGACATGGACATCTCAGATGCCTCCTTCGTGTGCCTTGCTGTACCTCAACCCATCTCCCCACCCCTCTTCTCTTTCTGCCTTACAACGCCCTCCCTCCTGCTCCCCACTGGCCAGGCTGGACTTGTTTTCCTGCTCCTCAGTGGCCTGGCCCCCCTCACTCACTTTTGCAGCTGACCCCTGCTCTCCTTGGAGGACTCAGAGCTTCTGCCCCTTTCTCTCTGGAAATCACAGCTGTGCCAGATTCCTACCCCTTGGAATGCCCTGCCTACCTCTGCAGCTGCTGTGATTCTGCTGTGTACCACAGCATCCTGGACATCCTCCCCGCCCCCGCCCCCCCCACAAGACGTCAGTCCCTCTAAAATTCCCATCATTGAAGAGCTGAGTGTGGTAACACACATTGCTAATCCCAGCGCTTTGTAGGCTGAGGCAGTAGGGTCACCAAGATGTCAAGGCAAACCTAAGCTACATAGTGAGTTCAAGACCAGCCTGAACTACATAGCAAGACCCTATCTCAAAGCAAAACAAAGAAATCCTATAATCCAAGAAAAAAAAAATCCTATAGCCCTGGCAAAGGGTAGAGCATTATCTCTCTTTACCAATTAAAGTAGTAATAAGTATTCCCTAAACTTCGAAATGTGGGGGGATTGCGACCTCACCTAACTGAGACTGCCCCCCTGTGACTCCTGGGTTGTCAAATATGTAGTTACTGCTCAGAGTTACAAGTGTGTGAAAACAGCAGGAATACTTCCTGCCAGAGCTCTTGAAACACATGAGGAAACACAGAAACAGGTGTCTCTGTGCAGCCCTCCCTGTATTGGTGAGGTCAAAACTACTCCAGTGCTGTGTTCTGTCTTTGCTCACCTGTCAGGACGGCTGCGAGTGCCTGGGGAGGCTGTCTGGTGCCAGGCAGGTGCACATTCACGCAGCCCGTGTGTGAGGACCTGCTGGACCCAGTCCCACCCCGTGACAGATCGTCCTGTAGGAAGGATTCCAGAGCACCCCCTGGACATCACTGTGCACTGCCCAGGACTGACCCCCAGTCCTGTGCCACACTGGACCATGCCCACCGTACCCAGGTTGCCACCCTTCCCTCAGAAGTGAAGCGAAAAGACTGGGAAGCCTGAAACTTCTAATACTTCAACTGAAAGTACATGTTAACCTCTGGAAATTTTCTGTCAGTAAATAGTGTATGTAAACATTTAGCTTCAAAATTATCCCATAAGCATTCTTTTATAATATTAAGATGATACAAACATGCAACAAAAGGAGCATGAACACAGTGATACTACGTAAACCTACAAAAAGCAGTTCAGTAAATTAAGAAGCATACAAAAGATGAACGTATCACCAAGATGTTCATGCTTTATAAGACTATCTGTAGATGACCTCACTTTATACTAATGTGCACACCAACAAATGACCCAGATGATTAGAACCCAGGGTATTAGCCAGGACCCTGTTGGGATCATGAGATTTTTAGGTGATTTTCCTATAATTTTTTTCCACTGCAAACATATTACATCATTTCTGCATTTTCAGGTACAGAGCCCTTTCAAATACATGTTCCCTAAACATTGCTATGTTTTTGACCCTTGCAGCATATAGCGATTTAGGCTACTACATAATCAATAAGCTGCACCATGTGGATGAGTCGGTGGGGAGTAAGACAAGAAGGGCCTTCCTCTATCTCGCTGCCTTCCCCTTCATGGACGCCATGGTAAGTAAAGGAAATCTCTGGCTTTTTTCTCCTTACTGGTAAGTATACATGATGTCAAAGTTAGTATCTAAACCATTTTTACATGGACAGTTCAGTGGAAGAACATCCATATTTTTTATGGTCTTCAGAGTTCATCTTGCAAAACTGGAATTCTGTACCCTTTCTGTGGTCACTCCTTTTCTCTTCGCTAGCCCCTGGCCATGCCCGTTCCACTTCTTTCTCCATGAATGTGACCGTCACTGTAAACACAGGTGTACAAATCCTTCTTTTTTTGAGTGCTGAGGATTGAAATCAGAAAGCACTGAGCTATGTCCCCAGCCCTTGCATTTGTAGTTTTTATTTCAATACAGGGTCATGCTAGTTTGTCGCAGTGTCCCAAATTGGGATTATAGCTGGGAGTACAGGTTTTTCGGCCATGCCCAGCTACAAATGCATCTTTGAGTCTCAGCATTTCAGTTCTTTAGAACATACATTCAGAAATGTGATTTCTGCATCATATGGTAACTCTATTTCTATTTTTTTTTCTTGGTGTTACATACTGAACTAGGCATGCAAAGCACATATTCCACCACTGAACCATACCCTGAATCTATTTTTAATTTGTTGAGATACTGTCATCCTGCTTTCCTTGGCTTTTAACCAGCCCATTTGTCACTGTATTTTATGCGACTTATCTATATTTGCCACAAGTGCTGGTAGGCGGCAAGAACGTGATTTCTTTCAGGATCGAGGAGAGAAGAGCTCTCTGGTAAGCCTACCACTTACGTGCCCTAGGCACCTAAAGTTCTGGAGTAAGACGCTCTTGAACGTGCTGGCAGGGTTTCCTTACTAACAACTACAGGACCAAAGAACCTCACGCCCATAGTTCCTTGTACTGATATTAAAGGTGCTGCCTGCCCTTCAGTCCTGGGGGTTGAACCCCGGCCCTTCATGTGCAGCTAAATTAGTGGAAAGCATGTGTTCCCAATAATGCCCAATATGGAAAACAAACCCCTTCTTTGGTTTCCCTTTGAATTGCTTTACATTTTATATGTATTTTTACCATTCCCTACCCAGATTTCACATACATAAGATATAGAAGGTAGTAGGGCCGTCTACATTAGAGTGAGGCCACAGCAGCAAGTGAGGTAAAAGACATACAGTGCATGGTGCCTGCCTGGCAAGTGCAAGGTCCTGAGTTCAATTCTTGGTACCAAAATAAAGGACAGATGATTGCCTTTCTCAGAGGTCAGCAGAGTTCTAAGCTGGCTGACAGTCACGTGACTGGTATGGGCTCCTCCACTCTGACAGCTTTCAGCAGGGCTGAAGCCTTACATGTTTGCCTGCTAGCTGGAATATGAACATCCATCCGTGCTCTTCGTTGCCGTGAGGTCACTGTAGGTGGGATCATTGGGGTCACCAGCATCCTGCACTCAGCCTGGCTTTACAGGGATGCAGAGTGTTGTCTCCTTATTAGAGAACCTTGGTACCCTCAGCTTCCTAGAGCTGGTTCTGACTCCCGAGACTGAGTCTGGGACATTGGCTGGCCCTCTCTCCAGAGCGGAGGTGGGACCCTAACACAGCAAGTGCAGTCAGCCACACACGGGGTTCTGGGGGCCGGGAAGGCTGCAGAAGTCAGTCACGCTCTGCCCCCACTACCCTTTGGCTGTTTAAATTTGCCATGAGGGAGTTTGAAAAATCATAGCACAGGCTCAGCCTCCCTACTCCAAGAATCTAAAGTCCGAAAGGCTCCAGAATCCAAAGCTTCTAGAGCACCAACATGGCACAGTGACAGGAAAATTCCATACCCCACCTCATGTGTACGACCCTGTGTCATGCACAAACTATTTCAAAGACTATATACTATTTTCTTCAGGGTATGTTTATAAGATATATGTGAGACATAAATAACACTTGTGTTTGGATTTGAGTCCTAATCCAAGATACCTCATTTTATATGTACAATTATTCCAAAATCAAAAAAAAAGAAAAAAACCAATTCTGAAATTCTTCAATTCCTAAACATTTTAGATAAGGGATACCCACACTGTCTAGCACTAGAACATTTGTATTTGATATATTCTTCTTCCATGTTTTATCAATAAATTCTCCCAAAGACCCTAATATGACATAAATAGAAGACACTGCTAATAAAAAATAATGAACAATTATAAAGAGTTCTCTCCCCCCTCCCTTGCACTGCACACAGACAGACAGACAGACAGACAGACACACACACACACACACACACACACACACACACACACACACCCCAGGCAGCATGGCCCTGACATGGTGGCTGGAAAGGTAATGTTCGGAAGCCAAGGGACTTATTATCTACATGGCTTTGAGGCAGCAGGGACAGTCCGCAAGGTGCTGATTGCAGCTCTTTTCAATGCCCACCTTGGGGACCCCCGAGCTGAGGAAGGTGGTAGAGGAGCAGCTGCAGGGAGAAGCCAAATGTCAAACCTTCCTCCAGCCCTGCTGTCTACTGGGCTTGGGCTTGCTGGTGCTGTGGTAAGACTTGCAAAGATAGAACACTGGGTCAGACCCTGCCCAACTTGAGGACAGGAGCGTCGAGCCCTCCTGAGTCCATGGGGACCTCTGATGATGTGACAGGTCAGACCTAGTTAGCACCTGCCTTGTGATGCCCTTCCCAGTAGGACTTGCTTCTGTACCATGCAGTCTGCTCCCAGAGCTGTATCCTGTGTCTTCCACTCTTGCTGTGCATCCGGCTTCCTTCTAGGCTTGCAGAACTCCTGAGTGTGTGTGTGGGTGTGTGTGGGTGTGTGTGTGTGCGCGCTCACACACACGCACCCACGCACTACATATAGATATTGCTAGCGAAGAAAGACATGCGGTCACTCCTTCCACTTAGAAATCAGCTGTCTAGCCACCAGCCCAAGTCACAGACTTACCAGTCCTGTGCTGCTGAGACATTTGGAGGTAGGTAGCGAGGTTCAGGGAGGCCGGTCGCGCGTGACAACAAGAAACTGCGTGATCCCAACGGAGCATCTCATGGCATGTTCTTTCCTCTCTGGCAGGCGTGGACCCATGCTGGCATTCTCTTAAAACACAAGTACAGCTTCCTGGTGGGATGTGCCTCCATCTCAGATGTCATAGCTCAGGTAACTATGGCCTGCGTGTCCGTTGGCGCGCCCATCCGCCTCTGAGTGTGACAGGTGGAGTCTTCGCGGCCCCGTGGTGTGTGGTGCTCCTCTCACCTGTCCCGGCTGTGCCACCTATTTTTCTCTCTAACTTCCTGTTTTGATATAACTTCAGATTTACAGAAAAGTTTCAAAAAGAGTAGAAAGAACTTCCCATGAACTCTTTGAGTCCCTCAAATATTGACATCTTACTACATTTTCTATCTCTCCATGTCCCTTTCCCGTCTCTCTCCCCTCCTTTTCTCTCTCGCCCTCCCTCCCCCCTCTACTACTTTTGTGAGAATGAGCTCCACATAAGATGCCACTTACCCCTGCATCCTTCAGTGTATATCCTAAAAAGGAAGACACAGTCTCACCTACTCTAAATATAATAGTCAAAATCAGAGGGCCAGCGAGATAGCTCATTGGACCAAGCGCCTGCCTGGGCAAGCACAGGGACCAGGTTCCATTCCCGGCACCACGTGCTGTGCCGGCCCTGCCCCAACCGGTGCGCTGAGCCAGCCACCAAGACCGGGTATGGTGGTGCACGCCTGTAATCCTCGCACTGGGGAGGCTGAAAACAGGAGGGGCACTGGGAGTCCAAGCTGTGTAGTGAGACCCCGCACCAAACACATTTTTTAGAAAAAGTCAAACTCAGGAAATTAACGTGGATAAAATAATTGATTTACAGCCTGTCAGAATGTGCAGAAATGGCTCCCCTGTGACATCCTTCAGAGGAAAAGCAAGCCTTAGCTGATGAGTTTCACTCAGTTTTCATGTCTCCTTTAACCAGAAATTGCTTTCTAGCCCTTGTGCTTCATGACAGCGAGTTCCAAAGAGTACGAGCAGCTGCTTTGTAGGAGCCCCTCAGGGTGAGACTTGGGGCTGGGCAGCATGTGACCTCCATGGAGTGTTTGGTACACAGATGAGAAAAGGAAGCTCCTTTGCCGTCCCTCCGTGTGCCTTTGTGCGCGCAGGAGGACGTCGGGTGGTTGGGAGTCTGACTGCTGCTTGACGAGCAGCGCCCTGGTCTATTCTGAGGAGGTCAGAGCATCTCTGTAAGCGTGGTCGCAGCAGGCAGCCTGCTGCAGAGCTACCCTCTGGAGCCATTCCCAAGCGTCACTGGTGGTGTGGGTGCCGCTCCAAGCTGCCACTGTGTGTCAGCTCCCGCCATCTGGGGAGCCAGGCCGGGGGTCTTGCTGCTCTCAGGCACGGCTCCCTTCATGTGGACCAGTTCTCTGAGGCTGGTGTCGGCCGGCTCTGTTCTGCCTTTCTTCTTCCACTGATGAAAAACTGAAGCAGAAAATGGGATTTTGTTCCCATAATTTGTTGGTTTACTAAGTTCCTGCCATCAGGCTTGAGGACGTTTCTGGCTGAAGAAGGGGTTAGACGTGGCCCCTAAGCACCTCCAAACTTGCCCTCCCATTCCAGGCGTGTTTCCATGCTTTGCATTGCACTGCGTATCATTTTAGTTTTTGAGACATGGCCTCGCTGTGCAGTCAGGCTGTCCCTGAGCTTGCAGCGATTCTGCTGCCTAAGCCTCTCAGGCACTGGGACAACAGGCATGTGCCACCACACCCAGCCTGAAGAGATGTTATTTTAAAGGCAAAAAGAAAAATAAGGGGAAAAAAAGATAGAAACACTTCACTTTGCTTAAGATAAATAGAACGGACATCTAGGGGCAGAAGAAAAAGCAGGCTCGTGCAGATCACTTCGCCGGGACGCCCACAGCCGTCTTCCTCCCTGGCTTTAAACCTGATCCTGGCCCGGGCCTGGCAGAATAAACAGGTCTGGTAAGAGGGGTGGGAAGGCTGAGTTCAGAGGCCCTCTGGCCCAGCTCTTCCTGGCGGAAGAGTTATTTTAAAAAGCCTGCTGTCTGAGTTCCCACCACAGCGTGGTTGAAGAATAGTCTCCGCCTCGTTCTTAAGTTCCCCCGCCCCGTCTGCGCTCTTCCCGTTGTCCAGAGGCATGGGC